CCCCAAAACCCCAAAACCCCAAAACCCCAAAACCCCTTCTATTATTATAAATTTTGAATTTTAGATATTTGAAATAGGATAAATGTCGTTCTTCTTTTCATATAATCTAGCGTTAAAGAAAGAGGAGGTGGTTGCAACAGCTTGGTCTCATTCAGAATTCCAACCTCTTCTTGCGGTCTCAACTACCCAACCAAGAATTATGTTTGCTCAGGAAGAAGCTCAAGAAGTGACAGATCTTGATACATCCAGTTTGAATTTCAGCAGAGGAGCACTTGCATGAGTACTTGAATGGCACCCAATGTTACCTTCATTAGCTATTGGATGGCAAGATGGAGTGGTCACACTCTGGAATGAAGATCCAAGACTTACTAGAGAGGAGAAGGTACTCCATAAGTCTGAGATTACCAATATCACTTTCAGTCAAGACGGAACTCGTATGGTCACTGGAGACAAAAGTGGAACGGTTGGAGTTTGGAGAACTCACAGAGGACTTACTCCAATCTGCCAATATAGTAAATCAGGATCAATCACAAACGTAGCATTCTGTGGACTTGCTTATGAAGAAGATTCTATGGAAAAATGGAACTCTCTTTTCTTCTTTGGTGGAAAGAAAGGATCTGTCTGCCTGGCTGATGATCTCAAAAATTGTCATGAAGTTTGCAAAGTAGGAGGAAGTATCAAGAGCATGCTCTTCTATGAAAAAGAGAACAGTGTTATCATTATCACTTCCCATCTCTTACTCGTACAATTCAGAATAAACTTGAATGAGAAGTTAGTTCCTGATAGAAAAGTTAAGCTTTCTGTGGCTGGTGATCCAGAAAAACTCATCACTATTTGGGCTGGAACTTCTCTCCTTGTCACTGCCTCTGGGGAAAATATGATCAGACTTTTACATTTAGAAGAGGATGAAAGTTATCCATTAACTCTTTCTGAAGATGCATTCGATGGAAAACTGTTCAGAGATAAAATAGTCACAGTCTCATACAACGAGAAGAAAAGAATCTTAGCTGCTGGAACTAAAGATGGATATGTCTGTATGTGGAAATGCAAGTCTATGTCTGCCAAAAGCCCAGATTCTTCCGATGGTTGGGAAGCTAAACCACCGTTCCTTGCAGATACCAAAGCTAAGAATCCACTGATTACCTCAATGAACTGGGGAGGATCAAGCACAATTTTATCAGCAGCGAATGAATCTGGAGTTATGGTGCTTTCTCAGACAACTTTGAAAAAGAAAATGAAAGGAAAGCTGAAAATAATGCAATGCTCAAACAAAGCTGTCGAAGTTAGGATGAAAAATGAAGCTAGTCCGAATGCAGATTTCCAAATCATCATGACATTAGCTATCAACATCAAAGGTCTCGACTGTTATGATAATTACACAATATTCTGGGACGGAAAATATGCTCAAATTTATGAAGTATTTGGTGACAAGAACCCAGCCCTGGTCGGTACATTTGAAAGCAACTCCAAGGTGATGGCTCTCTATGAAGACTCTATCTTCCAAGCTAAAGAAAAGAATATCGAAGTACTGAACTATCAAGGTGAGATTAAGCAGATGATCCCAGTCACAGAGCAAGATGGAGAAATCACTCATATGGAGGTCACCAACAAGCATATGGCTATCGTAACTGCTAACAATATGATCAAGGTATTCGATATTTCTAGAAGGAATATCAAACAAGTTGGAATGACTCGTAAATTTGGAGATGGAAATCAATGCGAAATCAAAGGCATCGCTCTAAATAATGACGGAAAGAAGATCGTAATCCTCTCTGACCAGATCCCAATTCCTTCTATTAGAATTCCAGACATTAAATTCTACATCTATGATGTTGAAATGGACACTTTCATGGAGAGTGAAGTTGAAACTGATAGAATTCCCTCTGAAGCTTTCTGGGACCAAGAAGACCCAAGACTCCTCTGCATTGAAACTGAATACATGAAAATGAGTGAAGAAACCCCAGAAGAAGACTTTGAAGGTGACCAGGAAGAAGACGAAGAGGAGAAAAAGGAAGAATTCTCTGGCAAAACAGTGGATAAGTATTTTGTAACCGGTGATTATGGTGTCAAAAAGCAAGACTCTATTAACTTCGAAGATGGAGAAGAGACTCTTCTAGGCTCTAATGTTCCATACCTCTTCTTCCTTGGTCATAGAAAAGCAAGAAAGGACAGCGATGATATGGAAGAGGAGAAGAAAGGAGGCTCTTTCGTTATCCTAAGGAAAACAATGAAAGATTTCTCTGGGCTTGAGAATGTTGAAGAGGACACAAGGAAAGCAATCCTCAATTTCTCTTTCTACCTGACCTGTGGAAACCTAGATGATGCATATAATTCTGTCAGGACTATCCAGAATATCTCAGTATGGCAAGTCATGGCTCAGATGTGTGTCAAGAACAAGAGGCTTGATGTAGCAAAAGTCTGTCTTGGAAACATGAGATTTGCAAGAGGAGCAAAAGCTGCCAGAGAGGCAGATGATGAAAAAGAAATAGAAGCAAAGCTTGGACTTCTCTCTATTCAATTAAACATGATTGATGAAGCTAAAGAATTATTCGAACAATGTGGAAGATATGACTTGCTGTGCAATATGCTCACTGCCTCAGGAGAATGGGAAGAAGCTATCAATATTGCTGAGAAAAATAATAGAATCAATCTTAAGAATATCTTCTATCAAATGGCTCAGCACTATGAGCTATCTGGAGAAATAGAATTGGCCATTGAAAACTATGTCAGAAGTAATACTCATGTGAGAGAAGTTCCAAGAATGCTGTTCAAGAATGGAAACTTTGAGAGACTAGAAAAATTCATTTTCGAAAGAAAAGAAGCCCCTCTTTACAAATGGTTAGCACAATATTATGAATCTCAAAATAGGATTGAGGATGCTTTGAATTTCTATCAGAATGCTGAAGATCATGCAAGTTTAGTCAGGTTATTCATCCTCAGTAAGGATCTAAACTCAGCAATGCAGACTGCTCTCGAGACCCAAGACCCAGCTGCTTGTTTCTATTTGGCTAGATCAATGGAAGAAATGGGCAATCTCAAAGAAGCTATTCAGTATTACTCAAAAGCCCAAAGATACCATCATGCTGTGAGACTAGCCCAGGAGCATAACTTCGATAATGATGTCTTCCAGATTGCTCAAACAAGCAACAACAAGAATGTGATGCTCCAATGCGCTGAATACTTCGAGAGAAGGAACAGATTAGAACAAGCTGTTACTCTCTTTGATATGGGAGGTAACTCCAAGAGGGCTATCAACATTGCGAAGAAGAATAATAGGCCTGAATTGATCAACAATATCCAAATGGTCAACATTGATGATATCACCGATCCAGTGGAAATGGTTGAAAAAGCAAGAATCATGGAAGACAATGGCAAGTATGATAAAGCAGTTGAGTTACTGATCAAAGCAGGAAGAGGAGAGGAGGCTCTCGATTTAGCAGAGAGGAATAATGCTGAAATCTCTGATGGAGTAGCTACTAAGTTGATCCCAGAGAAATCTAAAGATTCTGTACAAGAGTCTATCAGGCAAGGAATGCTGCTGAGAGTGGCTAAGCAAGTCCAAAAGAATGGTAACTTCCAACTTGCTTGTAAGATGTTCACTCAAGCAAAACAGAAAGTTAAAGCTATGCAGGCTTTGCTTCATAGTGGTGATCAAGCAAAGATTATTAACTATGCACAAACTGCTAGGAACCCAGAAGTTTATGTACTTGCTGCAAATTTCCTGCAAAATTCTGAATGGCTGAATGACACCAAATTGATGAGTACAATTATCACATTCTACTCAAAAGCTAAAGCATTCGAGCAATTGAGTGGATTCTACGACGCCTGTGCTCAAGTAGAAATTGATGAATTCCGTGATTACAACAAGGCGTTAGGAGCAATGAGGGAAGCATTAAAGCAACTAAACAAAGCTGAATGTGCTAATAAGCAACAAAAAATTGAAATGCTTGAAAAGAGAATTCAAATTATCCAAGAGTTTGTTGAAGCAAGGAACTTAGCCCAAACTGACCCTAGCGGAATGGAGAAAGCTTGTATTGAACTTCTCCAATACCCTGAAGTTGAGACTGCCATTAGAATTGGAGATGTGTTTGCCCAACTCGTCGAATATTACTATGAAAAGGGAGATATGCAATCTGCTTTTACTTATTTGCAACAAATGAAAAAGAGAAAGATCATCCTTACCCCTTACCTTGACAATGAGATGATCAGCAACATCTACACCTCTAATGGAATGAAAAATCCTGCTGATGAAGAAGATGATGATGAGATCCCTGAAGACTTCTCTTAGTTCATAAAAATTAAAATTCAACAGTTTTGTTCTAAAATGGGGTTTTGGGGTTTTGGGGTTTTGGGG